CGGGGGACCGTGCGCACACCGTCACGGCGAGGGGCAGCACCATCCCTCAGCCTCCCCGCCAAGCCCGCCCGGGGGTTCCCCTCCAGGAAAACTACCACAAAAAACCAACCCAAACCAAAAGAAACCGCGAATCCTCAAGCTGGCCTGGCAACAAAAAACGGTGTGCTGAGACTGCGGCGACCAGCCGCTCACCTGGGCTCTACGACGTAAAACACCCTTGTTTAGGCTTGGTTTTATAAGAGAGCTTAGTGATGGCTTTACGAGAAACCAAATTAACTCTTTGCTGCTACTGAACGGGGAACGTCCCCATCACTGTGCCAAACGTTCCCATGGCTTGCCTCGCGCCAGCGCTGGCACTGGTCTGGCTGCATGGTAAACCAGCTCAGTGCCCCAAAATGACTGAAAATCAACCCAAGAAGAAAATAGAAAAAGAAAGAGGAATTGTTTCGCAGGTTAGGAACCTGCTTCCCTGCCAGAGCAGGGGAGCATGGCGTGGCGAGGGGAAGCATTTCCCAAGTCTGAGTTACAGCTATAAGAGCATCCCCCCCACTTCTCCTTCTAATATTAATAGTAGTCTGTGTTAGAGGCACATAAATATCCCTTTTCCATTTCTATTATTTTTGTAGCATTTAAATTTATTTCAGAGATACCACATTTTTCATCTCCACATTGCAAATTAATTTCCCGTAACTCAAACCACCCTGCTCAGATAAACATTTCTCTGTTCACTCTGTATACACCCCAGCAGCAGCCAAGGACAGTTGACTTAGCTGAATAATACGCCCTGGTGCTAAATGAAAATTAAACTATAAATATTTTTAAATACCTGACTTCCTGGTTAGTAGAAGTGAAATGTACCATTTGTTTAAACTATCGTATTCATTCTTTCTTTCCTCATTTTATAAAACCCAACTACTAACGAGAACCTCCGTAAATAGAGCTTCAACTTTCATCTTGAGAAGTTCAATCAGAAAGCTCTTCAGGCATTTTTTATTCCTTTTATCAGAATATTGATGGAAGTCATAATTCACCTTAATGTGAGAAAGTTTCCTTTCTTCAGTAAAGAAATTCATCAAGACATTTCTTGTTGGTAAGAGCTGACATAAATCTGCTTGCTTTTTCCTCTATTTGATCTCAGCACTTTATGAGGTTTTGATTGCCCGCTCTTAATTTTCCACAAGCAAATTCAATTAAAGAAATTAAAAAAAACAGCAGTTCAATCCCGATTACCTCATCAGTAAATGGCTCCTTTATTGCACAACGGATGACATATGCCCCACTCTCCTGGTGCTGGTGGAGCCCTTATAAAACTGGATCACAAGAAACCTTTCCCTCTTTATGGGTGCTGTTAGGAAACAGCCTATCAACCACCCGAGTCAATTCAGCCAGGCACTCCCCCTGCTCAGGCAACAATCCAAGGGCTGTTGCAAATGAAAAAATGTCCTTGGGGGGAAAAAAAAAAGCGTGGAAGTCATTGCATGCGTTTCAAATCTTTTGTCCGTACAAGGGCACGGCCCCTGTTTTACAGCACCGATGACGGAGCGTCACACAAGCGCGCTGGAGAAGCAATGCAGCCCAGTGGTCAGCCAGGGCAGAGGTTATAGTTCACTATTTTCACTTTATTTCCTGTATTCTCTTGCTACAAGCAAAGGTGAGCAAATACATGCCACGTTGGAGGGTGTGGACAGCAAGATGCCTTTGGTAACAAGCTGATTATTTAGCACTCACCTTTTCAGGACACAAATAACCAGCGTTAGTTGGGAGTGCAGCCTCTGCGTTACGCTGGCGGCGTCAGCCGAATGCTGGAGATCAGCAGTGGGCAGGTTTTAAGAATAGTGATATTTCACAAACATCGTTATCTAAATTAATTTGCTTACATGCATCCACAAACTTTCTGCTTTGGTATGGCAAAACGTTCCTCTTGAGGCAGCTTTCTACAATCACTGTCTACCTTAGAAAGTAAGTACTCCCCAAGTACTTAAAATATATTGGTATCTTAGAGGAGAATCCATTTAGACAATTCCCCAAATGAAACACACTGTTTAAAGAACTTCAAGGATTTCAAACTCATGTTAATTCCCAGGGAATTTAAAAACATTTGAATAAGCTGCTCTTAATACCATTAGTAAAGAACCTTATTTTTTTTAAAAAATGTATAAATATTTAAAAGAAATTTTTCTTGTGAGATAAAGAGGATGTGCACAATAGCCAGAGCAGTTACTGCCCATCTTAAGTGCTTGGAGTGAGGCAAAGCTGCACTCTGCTAGAGAAGAGATGCGTGAGCCATGATTTCATGACCTCGGACATCAGTTACCCAACTCAAAATATTTCAGTACTGATGACTATCAAGAGCAAAAGACGCAAGATACCATTTTTCTCCTCTAAGGTAACTTCATGCAAGAGCATCTTCAGAGAAGACAGCTAAATGGACATTTCAGAAGAGAATTTATTAACATTTGCAGTACAGCCAAAGTGAGTTGCAGTCCATTAGGCCTAAATACTGTTAGGTGCACCTAATGAATACCAAATCCGTGGGACAAGTATTGTCACAGCACAGCTCACGTAAGAGCATTTTAAAATGCGATGACTGTAAAACAAACTGGTTTGGTAGTTGAGTTGACATTAGGCCTTTGACAGTTTTCCCGAAAAAGCTCACAAAAAGCAATCTTGCTATTAGCTGTGTGCATTCCTCCTCCAGCAAAAGTTACTGCATTTTAAGAGAGTGGGTTTGTTGGAAGGAACAGTTCAAAAGCTGGAAAGCTAATAAATCTCTCTCCCTACAGACAGTCTTTTCACAAGGACAATTTGAGGGAGGGAAGGCAAGGAAATGCAAGATTTTTCTACCAACATATTAACATATAGTCTTAGAGAGGACATTGTTATTCTTTCAGAAAGCCTGGAAGAAAAACATTGAGAATGGTTTGATTCAGCCAGTTGAACTGTGCTTCAAGAGCTTTGGAAGACATCCAAGATGGAATCAGGTAACACATCTATGAAGTCCAGAAATCAACAAAATATTCCTTATTTCTACTAATTTAGGTCGATGTTGATTTTCTGTATTTTTTAAACGGTGTTCTAGCTATTACAGTCAGTCAAGTGGCTGAAAACGTAACATCTGCCTTGATGGCTTTATTCACTGGAAAGAAAAAATGACATTTGAAATGAAACTTTTAACGTGGGTGTCACTGTACTTCCGTGTAGTCGGGCACTTCAGTACCTCATTCAGGGTTCCCTGTAGGGCCTGTGGTGCCAAACTGGAAGGAAACACAAGTGTTCTGCCAAGTGTGAAAATATTATTCTCCACTGTTAAAATCACTACACTTTATGAATGCTGTTTCAGGAGAAAGCTACTGAACTTTTTGGGTATGAAAACATTCACCGCCGCCGCCTCCTTCAATTCCAACATTTAAACATCCTAAAGGAGCTTTGCAAAGTAACCTTTCCCTTTGGATCTTGACCGCAGCAGTGTTACACTTTAACATGGGTACGTTCAGGTAAGAGTTTCCAGTATCTTCCGTGAGAATTATTAATTATACAGCTTAGGTAAAAAATTACTTGTTAAAGAACTTACTAATTCCTACAGCTTAGAAGATTTCATTTAAGCCTTGTTATCTACTCTACATACCATTTAACAGATGCATAAATCAAAACTCCACACACACACCCCCCCAGAGTGAATTTAACCAGTAACAGAAAAGATGTTTTTGAACTGGCTGTCCGATGCCAAGCACAAGCAAGCTCTTTATCGCAAGGTACTGTATAAAAGCAGTGAAACAGTTAAGATAAAAACCACAAGCTTATTATTGTAATTTATTTTAAAAATGTTATTCAAAATATTAAGTGATACAAGTCCAAATACAATAAAAATTACTGCAAGAAAAGAGTTTTGGGATATTTTGTTTGTGCTTTACTTCTTGTGGTTCTGAAAAGAATGCATTTAACAGTAGGATTTAGAACTTTTAGCATTTCGTTCGTACGATAGTATCATGCCTTCAGATTCCTCATGCCAACAGCTGTAAAGTCGATTTTCAAAATGTTACATAACTACTTGAATACCAAGTCATTAATTACGGGGTTCTGATCCACCATTATTTACATATTTATCAGTTTGAAAACTAAATCACAAACAGAATGTACAGAAAACCAAGATTTTATATTTTACAACTCATGAAAACATAAATAAAGTACAAAAGACAAGGTAAAAAAACCTAAATGTACCAGTAACTTGATTTACATTAATGCATAAATGTTTGTCAAAAATTAAGAGTGCGCTGTCCACAGACTGGCAGCCCCACACACCATCACTTTCACCTGCCTGTTACCTGGGTCAGAATAACAACAAACTAAATTATTCTTATATTCTCAGGCCTCTCCCATTTATAACATAGCAAACTACGTAACTGCTTCCCAACTGTCTTAAAATTCAACAGGAAGCTTCAACGGATTGAAAGCCTGTTAACTACCTATATTTAGTAAGATTATTCAACGAGGCTTATTTTCCATTCATTAATTACAAAGGTAATGAAATAGTCATAAATACCATTAGAGTTAAAAACTGGACAGTCAAGAAGCTGCATACCTTCACAAAGATCTTGAACATTTTAAAGAAATATATGGTATATAACCTCTGAAATAAAATGGTTTCTACATAATTATTTTTAATTTTTTTACTGCATGAACACACACAGAAATTATGAAATTGCCATGCTAGCTATTCTGCCTAAAACAGGATCAAGTTATGCAACAAGAAAACACAACCAAAAAAAAAACACAAGATGAAAGATTTGCAGCATCGGGATTTAAGCATAGAAAAAAGTAATTATATTTCAAGTTTGCAATATAGTGGGATTTATGAGCCACATAAGTGATTAGCAAAGAGAACATTGATTTGATTTACTGATGCCAAAGTCATTATTTTATTAGACCTAAAATATTTTATGCTTATTTTTTGTATTATCACTATTAAGACTGCTCCAGACAGAAAGGATGATGCTTAATGAATGGAAAGAGAACTAATTATTAAGCTCTGTATCTTTATAGTTGATATAAAACCTGACCAAAGTAGCAAACAGATGTATCATGCCCTTGATCTTGCATGAGATTTAATCTCACAAACATCCAGGTCAAAGAGAGTACATCTCATTTCAGTACAAGCAGCATATTTAGAATACCTGAATATCATTACATGACTAGGCAGGCGAAGAGTGATTAAGTTCAGCAAACTCAAAGCACAGTGCTTTCAAAATATGTAGTCATTAGTTATTTTCAGGGAAGGCATTGCTTCATTAACATTTTGATCTAAACGATGATATTCTACTGTCCTAGAGCACAGGCCATCCCTCCATCTTCGGCTCTGCACCAGTAAGAAGATCTGAAAGAAAAAGCAGCCAACTTACAAAACGTGATGGGGAAACATTTTGGTTTTGACAGACAGCGTAACAGTTCTATTGATCCACAGTTCTACGCCTTGATCCTGGCAATGGCATTACTGCTGCTATAAAGCACGGCACTAGCAGTCAGCCATTTCCACACTGTCCTTGCCATCGAGTCACTTTACTGGCAAGCTCAGCTGCAGTTTGGTAAAAATACAGCATTCAACCCATAACTCTTTCAGTAAAGGTAATGTATGTAGTTTCAGAAGTACCGCATATATGGGTTATTAATCTATCCCCAAATGGTGACATTTGTCAGTTTATTCCTCTTACCTATTCTTGCATTTCACCCTTGTTAAAAGTAATTGTATTGCTGGTGCTGAAACAAAGGCAACAAAGCAGCAATGGTGTAATTTGATAAACTGTTTCTGCATTACAGCTCAGTGCCCCCTTCAGCAATATCAGCAGAGCAGTTAAAGAATCTGTATGATAAATCAAAGCACTCAAGTGATCAGATTTTTAAATGTCTATTACCTTCACCCTATTTAGCCTTGTTTCTTACTGACATCATCTAAGAATCCACTTTACTACACAGGGCAACTACACTGGCAAAAGGGGAAATGGTACGGTGTAAGTGGGCACAGGGAAAGAAAAAGGAGAACCTAAATCAACTTGACTGTTGTCTCACCGAAATACATGCCACTATCTATGTATTTAAAGTACTAGTGGACTTTCTGTTCCCAAAATTATTTCTAAGTGCTAAAAAGTAATATTAACAGACAGCTTTTCAATTACCCAAATGAACTGCATGTGGATTACAAGCATTATCTCACTTAAGTAGCAAAGACAAGGCATTTTTTATCGCTTACTTGAACTTCCCTCAAAGTTAAATTTTCAGATGTAACACAGTGTTCAACTCTTCCCCTATAAAGACTGAGCAATGCACATTCCACTGTAAAGCAGTTTTGGGGGATTTTTTAGCTGTTTTTTTCAGACTGAGTCTTTTAGAGTTCCCCAAATCCTCGACCAAATCAGTGTTCTTTACAAGGATAAACCTTAAATTTACCACATATATAAAAACTAACCTATGATTTAATTGCAAATTTATGCATGCATCTGTACTGGGTCTGGCTGGACTGGCGTGAATTTTAAAATATATTGGTAGCATAGAAAATAACACTAATCAGGCTGCCTTTAAGATACAGAGAATTAGTTTGCACTGATGAAACAGTTACCTGAAAACACTAACTTTGGGCTTCTCTATGTAAAACTGGAAAGTGTTAAACATTTCCTAAAAGTTTGTAGTTAAGCCCTCAGAAGATCTAGGATATAAAGGCCACCTTGAAGTGAATACTTATTACAAGGATTATCACAGTTATAACAAGAACATTCCCAAGCCATTTGGGATTAAGACTTCCTTAATTTGCTGTTTATAATCCTGTGCAGGAACAAAATTAGTTAATTAATCACCTTCACTTGACTTGGCTCAGGTCTCATTTATAGAACTCATGTTGTAAACTGCCAGCGTCCATTACTGAAATGATTGATTATGGATGTTATCAATTAATTAGTTTTCTAATCTAAAATGTTTGATTCAAGTTCATTTTCACTGTGCAGATAAAAGTGACAGTAATGATCTGCATATTAGTATCACAAAAAGACTAAGCGGTCAGCGATTTAATTCTCCAAAAAGCCAAGTTGCTCTTATTAAGAAAGCGTACAAGCAACACAACTTCATTTTAAACACAAAAGCTGTTTCTCTCAACCTTTCACAGCACACCTACCTTCCTCTTATTGTGATAGGTGACATAAATAACAGCTACTAAGAAGGCCACTACAACCAGATGAAAAAAGAAATGGCTGTCTTCTTCTTCTTCCAACCCTGTGACAGAAACATCTTTTATCTTCTCATCCAGGGTCTTGATCTCCTCATTGTAATTACTAATCGTGTCAGAGTCATCATCTTCTGGCATCTCTAGGTCTGGGCTGTATCTGGAATTCGATGTCATTTCATAAGGACCATAGTCATCTCCTCCATCTGAATCCATAGTTTCTTTTATGATGGGTGGTGAACTATTTAGTGTGTCTTTCAAATCTGTTAGAAGATCTTCTTCCTCAATTTTAGTATCTTCAGAAGCATCAACATCCATTTGAGATACAGGACTAGCAGTCACCACACGAGGCAGAAGATATGGCGGAGAATCACCTTTTGCTGTAGATGGTTTTACTGCGGTCACAGAATTGGTTTTAGCTGTTGGTCTTGCTTCTTTTTTTGTTGGGGTTATACTCTGCAAGCTGTCTGTCAAATTTTGAGATCTACTTAGCGTTTCATTCTCACTTTTAGAAGAAATATTTTTCTGAAGTATATCCATTTTCACAGAATCTGAGAAAAGGATGAGAAACAATCAGTATTAAGCACAAGGCACTAACATCCATGATACTTCAGCTATAAATGAAAATTATTGCAAGGCATTTACTTTATAGACAAGAAACCATATGGTGAACAGGGCATATTTCACACTGCAAACTTTTTAGAATTCACACGCAGAAAGACACACTCCTGTACCTTGGCAATTTCAAAAGAGAAGTCTTCAGTGGGACAGAAGTTAAAGCTTGGAAGCACTTGCTTTCTAGATTAGTACATCAAAGTGTCCCTGAAAAATTTAGCATGCATATTTCCAGACTTAGAACTTCGGACACATGTCATCCCTCCATCTATGGATTTACAATGTCTTGTAGAATTGTACGTGATTAGTATTTTCTCCATTATCAAATTCTTTCTTCCACAAAATTTGCTGAGGTCTACAGAGAAAGAAGTTCTCAGTAAAGCTTTTCTTGAATTTAAAAGTTTTTAATCTTTCACCACTGCATATTTTATCAACAAAAAATGAGAACACGCTGCGATGTCTCCTTCAGTCAGGACAAAAGGTCCTAGCATCTCTTCCCAGGTACTAACTTTTATTGAATTTGCAGACAGGAAGAACAATTTCCAACCTTATATTAACTCAAATGAAAATACCACAGCTTAAAAAACCTGAAGCTTAAAAAGCTGAAGAAAGGACAATCTCACTGCACATGCTCCTGTAGGAAAGCAAAGCCTTCTGTCAGCAGCAAATTATTATAATGAAGTAAGTCAGCAACAGTGCTACGTAACAGTGCACCCTTAGGCAAATTCTTGATCTCTCCAAAGCTAGGATGGCTTTGCAGAACTATGTAAAAAAGGTGAGCATTAAAACCACATGCAGGGCCCATCATCCCTCCTTCTCTATCCAAAGGAAGGTAAAAAAAGATGCAGAGGGAGTTTATAAATAGCCAATGTTTTTTTAATCCTAAAAAAAATAGCAAAGCGAACTATCCATGTCTACAGCGCGTCGCTTCCAGATTCAAATCAGGAGGCACCTTAAAAAAGAAGAACACATTTTAGGCTTTCAGTACACATCGTTAATTTAAATAGTGGAACCATACTTGCCCTGTATTTTAGCATGCCAAACTATTTTTTTTTTTATTTTACAAAAGTAACAATACTTTCATTAAGCGCTCCCAAGGAGCTCCCTGGTTCACTGGAAAGTTACAGATTCTAGAAACGAAGCATTCAACTAACTGCTTGTGTCACATTACTCATAAGTAAAATATTATATACAGGACGCTGAATCATGTTATTCATGAAACATGTATATTTACAGAGGATCAGTTACAACAGACTTCGTCTTGTTTACATGGTACACTCTTCCAGTACGAATTACTCTTTAACCAACTGCAAAACAGAGAAGACTCAACTAATCCCATATGAACTCAACATTACGGTCCCTCTCTGCTAAAGTTCGAAGTCAACCGCTTTACATTTAACACACTTGTTGCTGTTGAAGAAACTACTAGCCTGAATTATCACATCACCATTAACTTGTTCAATTCTTGTACAGGGCAAGTTTAGGGAATTCTTATCTACCCTCAGGAGTCAAGCCAGCTAATTGCATACATGGAGATAAACATGAGAAAAGGCAGCTGCAAGATAATTTTATATTTATAGCTAACTGGCATGTTATCAGTAAGGTAGGTAAACCTTACCTTACCAAACCTTACCAAATAGACAAAAAGTATTAGAGAGTAATAGCCAAATTGTTTGAAATACAAACAAGCATATTTTTCATATAGAACTACACTGTGTGTACCCTTACACTTAAATTTATTCTTAAACTCAAAAATTTTAACATGAAAGGTTTAAAAGGATATATGCTTAAATGCAAGGGACTCTCACCAGCTAATGCTGCAGCTTCAGAATGAGAAAGAATAATTTCCTATTATTCCTAAAAGAAGTTATTTTTTGTTTTGACAGGAGTAGCAAGTTTAGCAACTACACCACAATTGATTTATGATATCTACCCAAAACTATTTGGCACTATTATTGGTTGCACTGTTTACAGTTACACAACACTGTCAGATGACGTTAGACATAGTGTCTGGACTCTAGAGATGCCTCAGGTTCAGAAATAGATATTGATGTTCAATCACGGTGACAGAACTAGCAACACAGTCCTCTTAGTAAACACTGTACATAAAAACATCTGTCGGGGTCAAAATTCACATCCAGGAAAACTTACTTTTTAGAAAGGAAGTTGTTCTATGATTTTTGAAGTTAAAAACTCCTGGTTTCCTACAGGTTTCTGTCACACATCCTGAACGTCTTCCTTCATTACTGCCTACACATTCAGCAACACAAACAGAGCTGGTTCGGGCATACTGACTGACAAACAAGAAAGACGCTGCCAGCTCAAAACACCTCCCTTTCCTCCAAGAATTCCCCTTCTCTCCACTGCCCCAACCCATACCTCATCTAAAACAAACAGAAACTCGCCGCACTCCAAATATTTACTTCTTATTAGCACTTGGTTACAGCTGGTCTGTAGGCTGAAGGAGAGGCAGGAGAAATAAAATTGACTTAACTAGGAGTCAACTTGCGGAATAACATAAGGTT